TCCTCTTCCATTTGTTATTTGTCTAGCAATAACATACAACGGGAGTAATCCCATATTTTAATATACGTCCCGACTTTTCTCCTCCACACGAAAGATCTAATTTGTGTTGCGTTGTTAAATGAATATTCATTAGATAACACGAAGTAAACAAAACACCTAGACTAGACTAGTAAAAAATAACGTAAGTCGCAATTTGTTTAATCACGACACTAGCGTCGATTAACTCGTAATTAATTCATTTGCATCGTATTTATGATGACCATGAGATGCACAACTTTGCACTCGTTATGCAACTATTGCCCTTAATTAATTCTCGTTGAAAAAGGAAACGATGTTCCCTCTTATTTCGTCACTAGTAGTCATTCGTAATGTAATAAATACGTTTTAAATTGCTTGAATTGAAAACGTCATGAAATTTACCTTATGAACATAACAGACGATAATTATCAATGCTCAAGTACCAAAACGAATTTTAAACAATACTTCGCTACTAGTTTTTAGTAGCAACGCATCATCACAAAGTGCCACGATTACTCATGATTGTGTCTAATTATCTTATCATTCCTTATCATTATTCGTTTACTGTTTCGATACGTGCATTGATTGTTAATCGGCTTATTAGTCTTAAACCGAGTTTACTCTCTGCCTCTGACAATGAAAAATGTAAGAAACAAAAGGACAAAAGAATTTATGTGATGAAACAACGAAGAAAGAATAAAGTCGACTATATTTATGTCGAAATGCCCCCTTGGGCGATTAATTGATTTTCAGATATAGATTAGCTTGTTAATTATAGATGACCTTTACGTAATGATAGACAGATTGTATTCATGAAAAAATTTTGATGCAAATGTTGTATACGTACGATAGCTCGCAAAAGTTTTTTCCCCAGACACCAGATGGAAATTTTATGATAATACATTTTTCTATTATAGTATTAATATATTAACAACAATGTAATTCTTGATCTTGATTTAAGCACCAACTTTTTACACGTGAAATCGTACAATGGCTATGTATAACTTGCTAATATACACGTGGTTTCGAAAAACATCACAATTATCGATATCGTTAAATGCAAAGTAATAATAATAATAATGTAACTGCCACGATGATAAATCTGATTTATCTCGATGCAAATAACTGTAAAAAAGCGACATAAAAATTTTCAGAGATATAGTCTGTTTTTATAATCTATAGTGCGGAAAATACGTAAGAAATTTTAGACTTTGACTATGAACATATGTATTATATACAAATTGTTATTTAGCTATTAAAAGCATTTTACGACGTATCTAAAAATTTAAGTATAATTATACGAATTACGATTTCATCTGAATCATTTTTCAAATTAATTTTATTTTTGAATGCTTTGGTGGTCACATTGACTCGGAACTGTAGACCTCTACAGACTCCATAAACGACAGCAGAAGAATTTCACACGATTCCTTCGAACAGTATCAAAGAATTAATTGCCATTGGCGACTATTTCCAATGAAGAGGTCAATTGTTTCATTTGCTCTAGTGACGCACGTAAGTATTATACGTTGAATTCAAACAATAACGAACATGATTGATACGTCTATTAACAGAGAACATATTATTTTTATCAATGCAATAAACGAAATTTATTTTCTTATTGATTATATAACTGAGTATAAAACTTTTAATCATTAAAACATGAAAGAGAATATTTGATCGAGATGATCTTTCTATTTTTAATTATTTCCTTCGCCGAAATAGATTTAACCAAGTGTTAACCAAGATACCAGAATATTAAATCCTAAAATATATAACTATAGATAATAGGAGATATTGATTTCTGTCAACAATAGCATATTGGGGGCAAAAAGATATTTGCACGCCAGATCAGTTTCTCAAGTAGGTATTATCGATCCAGATATTTTTCCATATTTAGAGTGAAGTTAAGAGATACGTACTATCTTGTACTATATTATATCGTGCATTATTTTACAATCTATCAAATTAACTCATTTCAGTAATTTAAAATGCAAAAACAAAACTTGTTACTTTATCGGTTATCAATGCATTACCAATCAGTCTCTCAAGTTACATCTCTCAAGTAAATGACAAATGAACCGATATGGTTTGTCGCAATGATACATTGACTCTCTATTATTCGTCTCAATATATTTATAATGAAATTATTTAGTATTTACTCGTTGTGTTTCACTTTACTTTACTTTATTTACTTACGAACTTACGTTTGCGATAAACGTGTCATCATTGGTCAAACTAGTTAAAAAGATAGTCGATAGTGACTAAATACAAGCATTTATTTACAAGTATCGAAACCAATGTAAATTCGATAAGACATTAAAGATTAAAACATATTTTTTTTTTTTACAAATCATTTATTAAAAGAATTTGCGAAAAGCAAATTAAAGAAAATAAAAATCTCATTATTTCTCATTATCTTGTAGAAAGAAGTCATATTCCGATTAATCTTAAAAATAAAGTTCTTTCACGTTTGTTGTGTCTACGTTCCCCAATGATTATTGCATATCCAGCTTGCATTGCGTAATTTCAGTTAATTACGCAATAAAAAAACACATATTCAGACATTAAATGCATTAAATTTTAGTGCTAGCTAAAATATTTCAATATAAAAGTTACCAATTGATTAAAATAATTATAATTTTGCACAGAATTTTTACATCAAGTTTAATAATTCTTTTTCTTTGTAAAAAGTAAATTAAAAATGTATAATTAAGATTTGTTTTTCCCAGGCAGTCTAAAATGTCAATAGTCTACATAAATAACAAACAAAAAAAATATTTCAGGAAGAAACAATAGACTTTAACTAAATTTCTATCTAAATCTATTTAATTCAAAACTAGTTATTTGTTTCATTGGAAATTTATAGCATTTTTTGTTAGGTTTTATCGAACAGAAATAATATAATCAGCGTTTGTGCTATTTTAATATTCAAAAAAAGACAAAGAAGTACAAAAATTCTTTATTTATTCAATGCTAAATTAACAATAAGTATATGAATATATATATATGCATATAGTTACTATAACACAATGGTGTATCCCTCTAGTGATGAATAATAAAAGCTAATTTATTTCTCTTACCACGTGGAACAAGGAATTTACTTTATCTACAGTGTTATTTAAAATTTCTACTCTATTGACGCAGTCCAGATTGAGAATCTTTCTGAGAAATGATATTTTGAAATTATTAAAAAAAAAATTTACAAAATGTAAAATTCTGACTTTCTTAATGTTATGACATATTTAATAAAAAAATACCACTGTACAGAGTTTTTAACTCTTTCTAAACTTATTCAGATTTATAAAGTTTTATAGAACAAAAAAAATTTTATTTTATTAATGCAAGTAGAATAAGTTAATCAATTTTCAATATTAAATAGTACGAAATTATATACTAAAATACAGAGATTCATTGCTAAAATCTGTGTCAAAGCACCTTATGCTATACTCCAAGAATAGAAAGGTTATTCGCATCAGTATTTTCGTAACTTTCATCTTAATCACGATAAAATAGATCAACGTTCTCGACTCTAGACTAACATTCCATACCTTTTTATAATTACAATACATATATCTTTTTATAATTTAATAATTACAAAATTATGAAAAAATATAATTCAAAGTTATCAAATTAAAATCAATTAATTCTCCTTTCCTCTATTAATGCTACTATAACATATATTTTAAGTAATCATTATTACTCTATTAATGCTATTATAACATATATTTCAAGTAATCATTATATACAATTTCGTTTGAAAGGAATTGAAGATAAAAGTTATAAATTATGAAAAACAATATTTAAATACCTTAATAACTCCTTAGTAACTAACATTTTTATCCTTTCTTGTTAACCTCAATACTAATGTCACTGTGTTCAAATCTTATAACTGAAATAAACAGTTAAAACAAACTTTAAATGAAAACATTTCAAACAGTATTTAAAACAATACAAAGTTACATACATATATTTTATGTTATATTACACATATTTTATATTTAAATTTAATAGACATGTTTTACCTTTGTTAAATTAAGTTAATAATCTATAATTTCCTTTTTTTTCAAATAGAACAATTTAAATACTCAAAATATACTTTACACGTGGTTTCTAGCATAGAAACAGGATCTGCGCATGCGTGAAAGATTTTGTCGGAGGGGCAAAGCCTTCTGCTGTCTAATAAAACCGATAGAGAGTAAGAATGGAAATATTATTTTGTAGTTGTCATTGAACGTATTTGTGCCAATTTCGATATTTTTTACACAGTGTCATGTTAATATAAAGGTAAAGTTTTATGAAATACTATATGTGACATTTGAAGTGTTGCAAAAATCCAACCAAAAATTAATTTATACAATATATTTTATTTTAAAAGAGAATGATAAAGAATTCGAATTCTATGTGATTTACATAAATGAACATGGACAAGACTGATTATGAAACAAAATGTATTGACTGAAAGTTACCCCACTTTATATAATCATTTTGTTACTAAATGCAAGAAAAGAATCTTATTGAAATTAACAGTATTATTATAAATATTTATTTAATTGCTACTGCTAAAAGGAATTAATATGTAAATGAAAGTGATAAAAATATTGTAGCAGTGTGATCTATAAATAATGCAGAGAATTTATAGAATCATGTCCTATAATTGGACTAATTATGGTATTTTATTATATGAAAGTTTAAGAAATTTCTAACACTTTTTTGAATAGACTTTCATGAATAAAATGTATTAAGATAAATAGTGCCAGATTGAGGCATAAAATTAGCTCATTTTTATGCATACCAAAGAATCTTTAGAGTACATATTATTGAAGCATTGTGGATAATGCAGCTGTTATGTAATTTATTCATTTAATATCAGTTACAAGCAAAA